TAAATGGAAGATGCAATTGAAATAATTGACAACAACTCCAATCTCTTTCATTGTGTTCACCTAATTTTACAATGTATAAATTTGGGGTGATCCAAGGCCTAGGTTGACCTCCCCCTATCTCCGCCCATGAGTGCAAAGAACTTACCATAAATTGTTAGCCATACGATGAGAGTTAATAAAAAATTAGAGGAAAGAGTTGGAAAAGTTGGTATATATTCTGCTTGAAAAGTTGTTTGGCATGATATTCTGATGATTTAGTCAATCTGGGTTGAAATTTGATTATGATTGCGGCCAGGGTGAGTAGTAGAGTACTTCTGCTTTGAACGTTAGATCTATCATAATGGAACTTATACCAATTGTAATTCTTTGGGCTATAACTGTTGTTATGACTATATTTATTTACCTATAAAATCAGCAATTGTTTTGGCTGCTACATTCTCATGCAACTCACGTGGTAGAACAATGGCTCACATATGTGATCATAGTACTAAACGACATCTAACATTTCCTTATGAAGATAGGAATGCAAGATAGGAATGATCATTTGTTCATGGAGTATGGAGTACAAGTGGATATGATACTTAACACGGCATCAAGTACAAGTGAAAATGGATCACTCGAACTTGATATGTATCAACAACAACAAATGCATGAAATTTGAGAAAGTACTGCAAATGCAATATGGGATAATTATAATGTATGAGATGATGAAGTACAGTTGTTGTTCTGATTAACATAATGTCACTTATTGAACTTTCGGTGTTAGGGAACATTTATGTTACTTTTTTGTGTTGTTTCTAATGTTTGTTATTTTTGACTTAATTTTTTTCCAAAAATTAAGTCAACGTTTTCTGGAAAAACAATTAAATGGAAAATTGAAAAACTCTGGTAAACATGTTTTCTGATTTGGAAAACAAAAAACTGGAAAAAGAAAATAGAAAATTGAAGACCTGGATACAGAAAATGAAAACAGAAAATTATCTCTGTTAGTAAACATGCCCTAATGTATTTCTTATTTTCTTTGGCAGTCAATATTGCGTGGAGTGTCCATTGTGTTTCCCATGGCAGAGCATATACACTGTGCTCATCATATTTTTGCTAATTGGCACAAGACAAATAAGGGGGATGAAATGAAAATGCTTTTCTAGAAAGCAGTGAAGGCCTACAATGAGGCAAATTTAAATGATGCACTAGCTGAAATGGAAAAGGTAAGTCCAAGTGGTGTGATTGCTTTCAAGGCATGTAATCCCAAGGTTTTCTGTAGATCTTATGTTAGGACAAACACTAAGTGTGATGTCATTGTGAGCAACATGGCTGAAACCTTTAATGGGTACATAATCAATGCTAGAGTCAAACATATTAATTTTATGCTAGAAGATATTAGAGGTGCATTGATGCAAAGAGTAGTGGTGAAAAGGCAGGCAATGGAAAAAAGTGTGGCTATGATCTGTCCTAGAATTCAGTCTAGATTAGAGAAAGAAAAACATCAGGCAGCCCAATGTACCCCTCTACCATGTCGTGAAGTATCTTTTCAAGTTAATTAACTATTATTTGATACTTTGACTGTGAACTTGGAAAGTAGGAGTTGTACTTGCAGAAAGTGGGACCTTAGTGGTATTCCATGCTGCCACACAGTGTCTTGTAAGTTCTTTATAAATGCAGCCCCCGAGGATTATGTTCATGAGTGCTATAGCAAAGAGGCATATATGAAAATGTACTCTGGTGGAATTGCCCCTTTGACTGGAGAAAGAAAGGCATTGGCCTAAAGTGGACTTCCCTTTGGACCCCCACCTATTAAAATTGGGCCTGGCAGACCATGAAAGAATAGGATTAAACCTCCCCATGAGAATCCAAAGAAACTTGGAAAATTAACTAGGCATGGAGTTGAGATGTCATGTAGTATCTGCACAAGTAAGACACACAATAAGAGAAAGTGTCCTGAAAAAGACAAGGTTGTGGAGCCTCAATCTAAGAGGAGTAGGGGAAGACCAAGAAAACAGGTTCAGCCAGAAGTTAACTCAACAAATCATCACTTAGCAACAACACAACCATCAAGGCTTGGCAGGGGAGGAAGAGTTATTCATGGCAGAGGGGTGAGCAGGGGTGGAAGAGGAAAAACTTCAGAGGGAAGAGGGCAAGTTCTTGTGGAATATGGTGTAATTGTTGATAATGAAGGGCATACTTGGATTAATGTAAGAAAAAAGTACTTATACATGCTTTATATTAACATTACATATAAATACTTGGAATAACTTGAGTTACTTGTTGACAGAGTCCTGGACAGCATGGAGGGCCAACGAATCTATCACAAACATGAAGTGGCTATTCAAGACTACAATGTTTCTGTTAGACTACAGCATGGAGTTACTTGTTTTTCAATGTTTCTGTTAGACTACAATGTGTTTAATGGCTATTCAAGTGTTGTGTTTACTTATGTATTTCTAAGGATAATGTATTTCTTATTTTGTATGGATAATATAGGAAAAATGTGTTTTCTTATATATTCGATGTGTTTCAATATAATATATTTTGTGGTGTTTAATGTTTCTGTCATGTAATGTGCCATTTGGATGCCAATATGCTCTGCAATGTGTTGTTTTACAATGGTAAATATACTGTGATAAGAGGTGGTACAGTGTGGTAATGTGATACTTATACTGGTTAAAAACTTCCTCATATTGTTTTACCATCCTTCAGGGATGGTCTGCTACTTTGTGATAAGAGGTGGTACAGTCTTTATCCAATCCTTCAGGGATGGTCTGCTACTTTGTTTAACTACTAGGAGTGATGAGTGATGAACTGCTACTTTCTTTGACTACTACGAGTGATGAGTACTACTTTCTTTTGTTTGGCAAGGTCTTGGGAGCTAGTGAATTTTCAGGGAACTTACATGTTCCATAACATAAAGTATAGGCTCATGACAGCCATATTTCAATTTGAACATGGGATTACTTTCTACAAATATTAATGGGAAAAACAAACTAGATGAGAAGATGGGATTAAGAGGATATGGAATCGGTATTTGGATCATTTTTGATGAGCTGTAATAATGCCTTTGTGAATAACCAAAAATTGACTTCAAGTTCTCAATTTTGATTGAAACAAAGGTTTGCATTAACCTCAAATTACAACAGACAACACAAACATAATCCAGGAAAAATACTAATACAAAGACAACATAAATAGAGACCATCTTTGAAACACCGATACATACAAGTATACATGACTTCCGTCCATACTAAAATTAAGAAACAACACAATCAGACCCCTACAATTGTACGGAGTAATACTCTAACAACACACAATTTTCAAACTTTTAATTTCACTTCCAATGCAACACAATAGCAAACAAACTTCATGAGACAAGTAGGCCAATAAATGCATATTTCTCTCCTTTGGCATGCTTCCCTACTAATCTCTTCAGTTCCTAAATTTCATTCCTCATCTTTTGTTTCTTCTTTTTCAACTTTGCGATCTGATCTTCTAAATCCTTTTTCTCCTGATCGAGTTGGCCGAGTAGTCTTTCCTTCTCACTTTTCTTGCCATCATCAGCTACCATAGGTGGAATGCTTTAACCCATTGAAAAAAAGAGCAATTTGCATTCTAAACAAAAGCCCCAAAACTCATACGAATTTAATTCACAAAATTCCTACATAATTCAACAACCAGTCCAACTTAGCGGCCATAAAGCACACCCATAGAATTTTCTTCCACGATTTGGTCCAGATTTTACTGTCCTGAGTTTCGGACAGACCTTGTGGTGGCATTCAACGGAACAGTCCATCTGGGTTTCATCCCTCGTTCCCCAAGACGAAGACCACGATGTTGAACCTGAGCCCATCTGGCATTGACGACGTCCTCTGGAGCACAAACGAACGAGGGTTGTAAAGAGATGCGAATGAAACTAGATGCGAATGAGAACGATAAGATGTTACAGATAGGTTTATTAGTTAAAGATACATGTGACCTGTCACGTGATGGTGTGACCGCCTCTAATATTTGCCAGCCGGTCACGGGTTGTTAACGGAAGACAACACCCTTAGTAGGGATTAATTAGAAATAACGTTTAGTACGGATTATTAAAAGCGGACAGAGCATAGTACGGATTATTCCAGTCAATTTTTCCTATTTTATAATGTACCGAGTATTACACAATGTTTCAATGGTACACAATATATAGGGGTGGATGGGTCCAGCTATAGTCCCTGGACTGGTTGGTCCTAGCGAATTATATAGGGGACCGGGACCTACATAAGAGGTTCTGTTCTAGTCCCGTTTTACCTGTCAATTGAGTATATCAACTTGTATGAGGTGGAGTAAAAAATACATTGTATTATATTTGATATTTTTAAGTAAACATACTCGGTTTTTTAGTATTAATTGAGTACATCCGTTAGATTAACTCGTTAATACGCCGAGCTAGCTAACGGAATGCTAATAGGTCAACTTCCTGAAGGTTGACACCAGCCCCCAGCCCCTTGATCGACTTCCCCTTGATCGACGTCAGTCCCTTGCAGGTTGACTTCCCCTTGGTCGATGCACCCCTGATGACCTCCAAAAGTTGATTTTCCCTTTTTGGTCGACTTCTTGAAGGTCGACGCCATAACCTTGATCCATTACCCTTCTTACTCGGCATTCTGTTAGCCAACTCAACCATTTTAACGTGTTAATCTAACAAGTGTACTCAATTATTAACACTAAATAATCGAGTTTATATACTTACAAATGTCAAACACAATATAGTGTACTCTTTACTCCAACTCATTCAAGTTGATGTACTTCATTGACCCTTTCCTCTTAAGAAAAATGAGTTTATGTTATAAATATTGAATTGATAAAGTAAAAATAAAGTAAAAATGATTTAAATCCACACAAATTTTACCAAATTTGGTATGTGACATTCTTTGTATGATTTTCAAAAAATAATAAATGAGACAATCTTAACGGAACGGATGGAGTAATATATTACCCGGATTCAAGACTAGCAGTCTAGCACCAAACTCATTTACTCATATACGGAATACTTATTTAAATAATATTAATAATATTATTATTAACATTACTATTTATTTTATACATATACTATTAAGAGTAGCACACAAGTTGTGCACAATCTTAAACTACTTACCTAGTCACGACTAAAATTCCATCAAATCTGTGGCTGCACTATTTCTCAAATCAATAAATAAATAAATAAATAAATAAATAAAAATTAACTTGTTTACTCGGGTCAATGCTAGGAGGATACAATCACCGAAGAGAACTAATTAAACCTATCTGATACTAAAAACTGTACCAAGAAATTGCAAAGCTCCTCCCAGGTGCAATATGCAGCAAGTAAAACTGCCTGTCATCATAAGCATCCATCTTATAAGCAATCAATGGAAGAGTTCTGGAAACGACCACATGATGAATTTCACAAAAGCGTCAGATTCAAGAAACTCAATATGAGCAGCCCTTCCGATCATGGTGTTCAAGTTCTTCCCCTGCAAGGATATGTCAAAATTCACATCGCACCGCATGAAAACCCGGTGATCACATGAAGGGGCGCGTAATTGGTCCAAGCAATGGTTGAGCATCTCCATAAAAACTTTCCCCTTCTTTGAGTTGTCTACTGAAGATGCTTGGCACATCTCTATCCTAGCTGAATGGTATGGAACGTACCCATCCTGAAGAAGCAGCACCACATGAATTTTCGCATTAATACAGGTTACAAGTTGTGATGGCTTTTCAGTTCTCAAGGACAGAAAACCAGAAATTATTTTTATTTTCTTTTTCTTTTCAAGAATCCAATGCATCTGTGCTGTGAAAAAGAAAAGGACGATGAATACCTGTGGAGATGATAACAAGATAATATTCCTGAACTTCTCCAAGGTCTTCCGCTGCTAGTCACACATGAGTTATTAGTCTTCAGTAAACTAACTCACTAATGAGACAGGGAATTAATGCACTCCAACAATTGCATCATGAAAGTCTGTTTACACGGTTTTGTTTTTTGTTACATATATAAGTGTCATAACTCATAAAACAGACCCTTCCATAACGAAACTGTAGTGCACTAAAAGGGAATTTGAGCCTACAGACCCCCCTCTCCCCGGGAAAAAAAACTCTAGAGACCAACAGTACCTTGCAAAGTTTGTACAAGAAAGTATTTTGAATATCGGGGTCATCGGTAAAAGTAAGCTGGTGAATGCACTGGGTGCCCTTGAGCTTCTTCAAAAGCCACAGCCCAGAGTTAAATAAAGAATTTGAACTGTACAAGTAACCAAGATGTGGGCCAGATATAGAAATGTATGTATGCAGATATCTGAGATATGGTTCCATAATGCTCTCTACAAAAAGTAGCAACACAAACTTATTGTGATATTTAATTTAAGATTTGATTGGAGGCAACAAAAACACAATGTTGAACAAACCAAACCTGTTAATGCAGTCCTTAATATGATGTTCCCAATGGAATGACCGACAAAGCTGATCTTGATGCTTTTCAAATTTCCATGTTTTGTGGCCTTCTCCATCTTCTTTTTCACAAAAGAAGTTACTTCCTGAGAAAGCCTTACTCCCATTTCTCTGAAATCCCCAGAAGTTTTCTCTTCATTAACCTCTGACATCAGAAACTCTACCTTAGGATCTATCAAAAGCCATTGGTTCCTGACAAGACGCAAGTCTAAATGATGCCCCTGCGCATAGCATATTTTGCACGGTCAGAAAGATCATCTGTATTGGAAGTAATGTTAACACGAACAACAACAATAACGACAACAACAATGATAATTGATAAATCCTAATATTACAGGTTTGAAACCATATATCATGTATTAGTTACATATGGTTAAAACCATGTGAACCTAGAGTACACATGCTTTTAGAATCACAAGGATTTGAGATGAGTTCAAAAATTAATTATTCCAATAAAGTGTTTCAGAGGGGAAAAAGGGAACCTTATGGCTAAACTGTAACAAAAAGGTAAAGACAACATAATTTTATGTAATGTGTAGGATGACATTGTTAGCATGCCTGAAATCCATGGACAAAGACAACAATTTTCAGATCTCGTCCATTCTGAGGGTTTTCATCAAATGACTTCTTTATGGCTTTGGAATTGATCATCTCACGAAGAAAGATATTTGCATCATTTTGCTCTAGATGATTTGAGTATGAATTTCTACTAGTTGAACGCACAGGGGCATTTACAACATGTTCTACAATCACAATTGGAATGTGCGACGGATCTCCAAAAATTTGCAAGTCTTGGATTGAGGAATTGTTAATCTGTAACAGACCAAATTTCTTTGTTCAGCTATCCTACTAATCATGAAGGTGTTACAAAGTTAGTCATATTATCGTATCATAAGAACTAAGAAGATAGAGCTCACCCTCATTTGTGCAATACTCCGCCGATGAAGTTCAGCTCGCATAGCTGCAGTTTGGGCAGGCTACTTGTAGTACAAGAAAATATTAAGATTATGATAAATCCGATTAAAGTTAAATATATACAGTTATGATGATATTAATATGATTTTAGATATAGAGAATAGTAAATCAAAAGATTAAACTTCAATTACATCTTCTGTGAGCTTCCGGGTAATAGGTGGTCTCCCATAGGTACCATGGTATGAAGAACTATCAATGTCACTACTAATATATTGATGAGGCATCTCAACTTTAGAATGAACCATCCATATTGACCATTCGGCTCTTCTATCAATGGCCCATTGAGTTATAAGGAAATCCAAAATTGATGTTCTGTGAACCCTGAGCAAAAAAAAAATTGAAAACAATATAGCCTGCAAGTGAAAACAAGAGCACAAAATGCATCTAGAAGGACGTTAGTGCACGAATGCACGTTCCACCCAAGTAACTACCCAATTACTTAACCCTTTTCATCAATTATTATCCTCCCTCATACTATACTTGAATGTATCACTCAGATCTTTATCAGAATAACATACACAGCAGTTTACTCATTCTGCACCAAGGCCTTAAATGTTAATTTGTTTTAAAACGTGTATATCTAAGAAGAAATATAATTAGGCAGATAAAATGAATGATTCAATCCTCCTAAAGCTTGTATATTTACACCTAAATCAATGGGAACAATGCAAGTAAGCTGGATTTGAAAATTTCTAGTTTACATTTTTCACAAGACAGAACTCAATAATACATTTTTCAATTTTTTTCAAATGAAATACAATGCCATGATCCATAACAAAAGAACATCAAATAAAACATTAATTCATGGACAGTAATGATTGTTTTAGCATCAAATGAAGTGCAAAAGGTTAACTTTGAGTCTTCAACTTCCACATTTATAGTCATTCTGCAACAATTCAGATACCAGAATGAATGAACCACTGAATTATAAATAATACTCCCTCCATCCCATTGGACTTTGCCAACTTTCCCTTTTTGGTTGTCCCAAAAAACATTGTCATTTTCCCATTAAAGTAACTATTTTGTGGTTCTGCGCATTTCTCTCTCCTCTGCACAAACTTCAACCATACAATTTTTACTATTCTTATTTCTCACCAAATCCAAAGAGTGCAAAGTCCTCGCAAATTCTCCGTGGTGAAATACTCCGTAATAGATTGATTGACATGATCATGTTCAATGTAGAAACTTGCAATAAATATTAAATATCTTCTTTAGTCTTGTGTTGCTTCATTGCTATTGCCATCCTCACAAATTCACATGTCAAAGTCTCATCTCTATCAGCAATAGTTATATTTTCCCTTTTCAATGAGATTAGCATCAGGTACCGATAATCCTCCCCTTTTTAACCTTATTCCTTGGTGCAAAGATTTACTCTTAAGTCTTAAGTTTAATGCATCAATCAATTAAACATGAGGCTGTTGAATGTGAGAAATGAAAGCAAACCTGTGAAACTTTAGGAATACACTCCATAAGTAAAAAACTTGGTTGCCAAAAGAATGAAACATGCCCAATAGTTCATCATTGGATAGAGATTGAAGAGCTTCTTCACTTTCTAAATCAGTCAAGCCATTTTGTTTCTGCTAGCAGCGAATGAAATATTAAGATAATAAGGAAGACAACAAAGCACCATGAAAGGAAAACAAAAGATGAAGCATCGAAAGATTGGGAAAAAACCTGAGACACATTCTGCTTTTGGCTTGACAACTGTTGTGAAACCTGATCATCTTCTGTTGAAGAAACAGAATTTTGGTTCAAACTCAACAGTTCTTTATCCTCATGCTTGGCAGAAAAATCATTTACATCAATAGCTTGATTAATAGCCTTGCTGACTTTCTTTAGCTCTTCAAGCAATATGGCACGAGCAGTTATGAATCCTTTGACAAGCAGAATCTGTTCCAACAGTACTTTAGAAGTATTTCCTTGGATAGGTAAATTGCACAATAAGAATGTTACTCTACAAACATAGATACGCGATACTGCAAAGTTTTTGAAATAAAACCTCTGAGGCCAGGTCTGTAATTGCTACCTAATAACTACTGGCATATATTAACAAGAATGTTCAGAAAAAATGCTTGAGATACAATTCAAAAGAAGAATAGAGGGGAATACATATATATATATATAATGCAAACGAAGAATGCTGGAATATATATTACGCCATAAAGAAAATAATGGAAAGGCCGTGGTGAAATACTACGTAATACTAACTAAATACTACGTATTATATTGTTTTCAGCATAAACTAAAGGTCCTAAAAAATTAGTGGCTCGAAACACTTGCTACTGAAAATGACACATTCTCCACCTGGAAAGTCTACCAATCTCGGACTAAGTAACATCTTGCGCAAAAAGATTGCATATATTGATATATATCAACTGCGCTTACATCAGAAGTTCAAGAAAAGAAGTGATATATCCTTAGTCTGACATGTGGCCCTATTTTGATAGCCGATACAAAAAGAAGCCTCCTATATAGTAATGCCTTGATTTTTCATTAATGTACATAACATACCATCATGCAAAAAAATTCTAGACCAATAAATTTCTACTGCTTTCAGGACAGCTGTGGTACCACTTTCCATAAAAGATGCAGATCTAAAGGGGGAAAACTGATAATGTCTTATTCTAGACCATCAGGAATAATGGAGTGAATCTAATGCTATCTTTCTCACAAGATAGATAAATTTATAAAGATTTGAAAGCATAATAATTTAGTAAATGAACCTAACTGCTTAATGCTGAAAAAAGTAATCATTTTAATAAATGCATCATCTTAACCATCTCCAGATGCATTTGTTATTTCATTAAATAGATGATGATGATAGTATTTAAGCAAACGCTGAGAACAACATGGAAATCCAAAGCAGTGGCCAACTAGTCATATCACATTATTATCAAAACATGTTACATTTAGATCTTAGTGCATGCAAGATTAGCAGTTAAAGATATACATATATATATATATAAGTTCCACTGAAAGAACCTACTTGCTTTGCTCTATCAAAGTCTTCAGCTGAAGCATCTTCACTGTGCAAGAAAGCATAAGAAAGACCAAATCTAGAAGTTATTTGCATGAACTCAATTCTTTGCAGAATGTAGTAGCCGATCAACAATTGAAAATATTAAACTATGGGGCCTCAAGTTTGGATTGGCAATTTTATTCTAATTGAGCAACTTGACTATTTCAGTAAGAGGAAGCAGTGACAAACCTTGCTACCTTTGATGAGGGGATGTGGATACCACGTTTTAATAAACATATGTGAACACTTGCATCAACAAGTACAGCATGGAAAGCATCAAAATGAACAGGGCAGTAAGAGTGCATTCCCAGAAGAGCCTTGGGAGGAATTCGAAATTCATGAACTGCTACAGGTTTTGTGCCTAACGAGGCGGGCATACCAGACCTGTAAAATGATGTTACAAAATTGCTAATCTGTGGAATTGCCAAAAATCGGTTTTTACTTCAATGCAAGATAGTGAAAGAAAAATTATATAACCAAAAGCCCAGAAGTGGAGAAGAATTGCTACAGAGCTTATTTCAAGCAAATTAACCTGTTTTCCAATACAGGTGCATATAGAAGCTCAAATTTCAGAATAATTGCAGAAGAATATGCACCCTGCCAATTTAAAGGACTTATTAGTTGACAAAAAACAAGATATAAATGTGGAAATATTACAAGCACTACTTGAATATATTAATACTCCCTCCGTCCCTTGTAACTTTGCCATCTTTCCTTTTTAGATGCCCCACAATCTTTGTCACTTTCCCTCTTAATCGATGAATGTGTGGTTCTTATTATTTCTCTCCCCTCTACATAAATACCAACCACACAGTTTTTACTGTCTTCACTAAACCAACTAGTTTTATGCAGATCATTCTCTTCAGAGCGGGAACTTTACACTCTGCTATCATATATACCTACCTTCAGTCCAAATTTACTCCATAAATTGGGGAAGATCAAGAAATAAAGAATGTTATTTTTTCTACACAAATCGCAGCTCATGTAAAGGCTTTTACAGATTTGTTTCCTTTTCTGTTGTTGTTCTTTATAACTCACAAGTCACAACTTATTGTTCATGGAAAAGAATTAAATTCATACCATCTTTATATATATCAAAAAGAAAATTTCACGCAAATGATGGTACTCCTTCTATTTTAATGTAACCCAACCAAGGGGATTAAAACTATTGCTTGTTGGATTTTATTTCTTTTCCCTTACACTTGCCCCTTCTTCACACTTAAAGGATCCAAATAGATTAAGAAAACACACACATATAGGCTACAGATATAATACATTGATAATATGATAGGAGTTTCCTGATAAGAGATAGAAGGGTTGGCAGTTCTGCACTACAAGAGTAGAAGTCTACCTCGTATTTACTGAGAGATAAACTAAATGAGACCAACACCGAGAGAAGGATATCCTGCCTCGCATATTTGATCCTAAATGGCTGTGTGAAGTAACTGTTGTCAGTGTCATCAATCATCCACACTCCACATATGTGATCAGAGCCCATATCAGGAGCTGCATCTCATGCAAATAGTTCATTTAAAAGTTAAGCCCATACACTACAGTGGGTTTACTTCAAAAGAAATTAGTGTGTGGCATGATCTCTGCTGTAGATATGTATATCTATGAGTAAAAAGATGTGTATTGCCACTACTACTACTAAATAAATATCTGAGAGAAAATAGCTCCAATCAGAAATGCATGAACTCAATTCTGTAATATAAGAAATCCAAGTACCGGATAATTTGATTAATAAAAATGGAAATTCTAAAATAGAGAAAATTCCTTTCAATGTTAAGCTGCCCACTTAGATAATCAAGGTTGTTCTAAATGTACGTATAATGTATTACTAAAATGATACTCTGTATGACCATTTGAATTACCTTCATATTGAACAACTCTTGATGGAGTTCCAGCTGAATCATAACCATCATCCTCCCACCTCATTGTAATCTTAATTTGATACCATCTGCGTATCAGAAAAAACACCCACACTAGAGAATGATTCTCAAATCTCAATATGAGATGGTAAAAAGACACCAAGTACAGAAATTTACAAAGAACTTACCCTTGCTGGAATAGGTCCAGGTTGTGAAACCGGTGAATGTAGATGGCAATCTCACACACAGCATCCAACATGGGCCTCGAATTCATATGGTATGATATAGAGCTGTTATTAGACTTAGTTAGTGGGACATGCTGCCGCTGTGACAATGTTGTGGGTCTATCTTCAGTACTATTCAATTTCCTAGGCGTCACAGTTGGTCTGTTCAAACCAGCAATCATCCATCGCAGACGCTCTAATATACTAGACATTTCTTTCGGGGACGCATAGAGAGATGAAGCGAATAGATCCACAGTTCATCGATCGCTAAGGCTGAGGCCGTGGCTTTCCTCCGCTGAGATCGAGGCACAGTCAAGGTGGTCAACTGTCGAATACGAAATGGGTCAGATTATTTCAGGCTTAGCCCTCGCCTCTCCTAGCCGCGAATTGTGCCTCCACAAAGTTCGAACAGATTTACAGATCCTTACAGATGAACAGGATAGCTTCTCCTTGACACCTTGGTACTGTGTTTACGACTTGTAACTCCTCTATATTTCCTTCATTCTTCCAGAAATCTGATCGTCAAATCCTCTTCTAGTCGGTCTTCTTTCCTCTGGTTGTGGGCACCATTCACTTGTCGACGGAATGTTCTGAACTGGCACAAGGCTGAGTGTTCTGCACTGCCACTGTGATAGATTACCGTCTCTGGCCAATGGAAAACCATTATAAGTAGTTTATGACTAGTGGATAAGTTTATAATTTTGTTTTGAGAACGTTAATTCAGGAATTTCTCTCCTTTCCCAAAAGGTTGGCCAAAATTGACTTTCACGGATTAATAAAGTAAAAATTGTGTGGTTGAAATTTGTTCGGAGGAGAGAAAATAAATTTTAGCCACATATTACTTACTTTAAATGGAAATGTCAAATCTTTTTGGGAATCCAAAAAAGGAAATTTAGCCAACCTTTTAGAGATGGAGGGAATATTTTAAAAAAATCAATTAATTCTGGAATTTCAAAAAAAATGTTCAATCCAATAAATTAGCATATTACCTGCCATGTCAGTAGGTCACCTGCTGACGTGACGTAGACACGACGATCCACCTGTGCGCCACGTCAACAGAAAATAATCGGTCGGGAATCCACTTGTGCACCATGTCAGCAAAGTCACTGCTTACTAGGATGTCACGTGTGCACGACATCAGCGGGTGACTTGCTCACATATCAAAAACATGTTGATTGACTTAATTACTCGTTTTTTTAAGTTCGGAGACATGAATGATTTTTTAAAGCACGAGCACCTAATTGATGTTTTTGTGATAATACGAGGACCAAATTAACAATTTTCCATTTTGTTTTTCATCCTCAAAGTGCGAAACTGATAATAACTCTCATTTTTGGGGAAAATTGCAAGTAGCCTATTACATCCTTTAGAGTGGAACGGTATAGGCATTCCATTTTACAAGAGGATGGCAACAAAGCCACTTCGGGGTTACTTAGAACAGAGACTCTAAAACAACAAATTGGCTCAGACAGCAAACCGAAATATCTCGATGGCTCGTACCCTAACCTCAACTTCATATACTGCCGCAACCAAACCATCCAGACTTTCGGTCAATTATTTTTGTCCAGCTACCGACGAGGCTATATAAGATTACAACAACGTTATACTCCGTATTAGGAACTATAAAATACGTTTTGATTATGTGGTTGTACCTAGTAAAAGAGTGGTTGTGAATGGAATTTGCCTAGATGATATACGGAGTAAAAGTTAATCTAACAAATAGCCAAACTTAATAGCCATGAGATCGAGGACCCAATTCGTTGTATTCTATCAAGTATCTATAGCATAGGTAACATTTAATAGCAATTATCTACATTAGACTGCAAATAACATATGAGTTTCTACATATATGTTTTGGTTCAAATAAAAACATGATCTTATGAGAAAAATAAGAATGAATTTGGACTGTTAGATTTGCTTTCAGTGAAATTCAGTGTGCATTAGATAAAATTGTAATGAGCAATAGGTGAAATTGAAATATGCAACACAAATGATACGATACCGTGACATTATGTGAAGCTAAATTGTGCATCAGATAAAATTGAAATGTGCACTAGGTGAAACTGAAATGTGCAGAATAAAAGGTATGATGTGATGATATTTTTTGTACTCCCTCCGTCCCGAATTGAATTGCAAACTTTGACCGGTACAAGGATTAAGAAATGACAATAAATGATGCTTGCTTTTTACACTTTTGTTCATCTTTCTAAAAGTAGATGCTTTTAAGTTAATGAGGAAAAAGTAAAAGTAAGGGTAAATTTGTCATTATTTGTTCTTATTTACATACCTAAAATAGAAAGTGGAAAACCATTTTGGGACAAACAAAAAAGGAAATTTTGCAAATCAAATTGGGACAGAGGGAGTACCTTTTATTTCACACATTTCAGTTTCATCTATTGCACACTTGAGTTTAATTTTTTTATTCTGCACATTTCAATATCATCTAATGCACATTTCAGTTTCACCAAATGCATAATTCAATTCCATATAATACAATCTAACGGTACAGATTCATTCTCCTTTCTCTCCTGGGAGTCCGTTCTTACCGGAACCGCTCCCTCTATATATAGCCATGCTTTGCTTTATGTCAAATAAAAAGGTAAGGATGATTATTATATTTGTACATAAAATTTTCTTCTTACGATGACGGGAAGCCCATTTTGCGAAACTCGAATAAGAAAATTGGGAACTTATTTTCTGACCAAGTTACGTAGTGTGTAATATCAATGTGTAAGTGTGATGTTACTTATAATAACTTGTCGATTTAAATGACATATGTTTGATACAAATCATGTTATGTTTTGTTTGACCAACCGTTGAAAAATGTATACGAAATTATGTTTAATGCAACTACACGTAATGTATGTCTATTGATATAAATTGCGTATTTTGGTGCAAAATGTGATATCATTACAAAGTAAATAATGTTGTATTTGTAAAAAATACATGTGACAAATGTATAAATTTAATTAAATTGTTTATTGAAACACAAGTTATATGCTTTGTGTAAATTTTATTATAAATGGTATAGATGTCCATGAAAAGATATGTAAATGCAATGTCATCTTGTTGTAAATAAAAGAAAATTTGCAAGTTTGGATTTAACATAATCATGGTAAACGAGGATCGAACCTAGATGTTTGTTACACTTATCCATGAGTCCACCAATGAATCAATTGTTTTATTATTCACAAAAAGTATTCAAAATGTATGTTGGTACCGATATTATAGTACAATCTCCAATGAATTAATACTACAAATTCTCAATTGAGGTTTGTGATTTTATTCACAAAAAGTATTCAAAATGTAAGAATATTAAGTCGTGTGTCGTGTATATGTCAATTCTACACGTTGTACAGACTCCCATTGTCGCATTGTCCCGAATGACGACACCAACAAGAACAATATTGATAATATCTCACTATCGCAAAGGCTCCTACTTACGATGAGGTAAGGGGGTGGGTCGGATGTAAGAAACTTTACCTTTATCCTAAAACATAGAAAGATTGTCTTTTGATGACTCGTGATAAATATCACATCGAAATTTGCATGAACCGAGTGTTGCTTCATAATAAAGAAGCACAGTCAGTTTATTGAGACATTTTGTTGTATCCCATCAAATTTGTATATTATTTTTCTATTTTTTTATTATAAATTCTCTATGTACACTAAATTACTAAGAACATGTCAAATGCAACAACGTGCACAGTGCCTACGTGACATGACCGATAGAGACACATAAAATTAAATTAATCAGATTTCTCTCTCTTTCTTTACATGGTCTTCCATGCTTTAGAATATTTTAAGAAAGAGTATCAACCACAATGTCCACATCTAAATGCCTAGGTTTGGACGTTTTCCCTGTCATTGTGGACAAATAGTCACTAAATATGGAGAAGGTTATATCACTACAAAAAAAACACCTGCTTTGTCACGGATTTTGTCACAGACCGTAGTTCAAAAAATCCGTGACAAATGATTTTTGTCACGGACTTTGTCACAGACCAAATCCGTGACACCAGGGGCGTGATAACGTTTTTGTCACGGACAGTAATCAGTGAGAGCGTTTGTCACGGATTTGTCACGGCCACCATCCGTGACAAAACACTTCACCAGAACCCCATTGCCTTTAATTTGTCACGGCCACATCCGTGAATAAATTTTTTTATTTTTCAAAAAAAATTAACTATTTGTCACGGATGGGCGGTAGGTGGCGTTGAACATACGCATTTGTCGTTCCATCTCTTCCACCCTTTCTCTCGTTCTTCTTGCCTCTTCATCCCGTATCCAAGCTTCTTCATCCCGCCTTCGAGTCTCTGCTTCACGTTCCTCCAATTGTTTCTCGAGGCGGGTAACCCGATTATCATAAGCCGAATGAGAAGATGAGCTAGCTCCTTTGGACTTCTCCATGATCCGTAAGCCTTCAGAACCCATAAGCGGCACCCGGCCCTTGTAAACTCCGGTTGGCGCCAAGATGGCCTCATCATCTTGATTTTCATCAAGTTCGGCATCAGAATCACCTAGCTCATCAACTCTCTTCCCCCGCTCTTCCTCATATTTTTTCTACAAGTTCAAATATTTATTATATAAGAGATCAAAAAAATTCAAAATTTATTGAATTATTGAAGTTTCATTATTTACTTCAATTTCAGAAAGGCGGGGAGGCGGCGTTACAGCACCCTTCTTCGTCCAACAATGTGCCATGAGTTTCAATGGCGTGACCCTTTTTTCACGGGTCCAAATCCTTCCTACACGGATTTCAAAGTTAATAAAAAAAAATATATACATAAGGGAATGGAATGGAAATAATTTTAATTAATTAGAGTTTACCAGATCTTTTCTATGTTGAATTTGGGGTTTGCGGCCCCCGTGCCATTGAACTTTCTTGGCTTTTTCCGGGTTCCGATTTGCCTTGGCTGTTTCGCTTATCAGCAAAAATGCGAGATCCGTGGCCCAATGGCGGCAAAGCATCTCCCACACATCATCGCCAAAGAATCTTGCCTTTCGACCGGTAGACCGGACAGTCCTAAAAGTGGGTCTCAACCACCCCGAGATCCTAGAATTGTATTCTTTGAGAATAGCTTGGTCTAGGGCAAAATGTCATCGATGGGAAGCCTTCATTAAAAACATTGATATATCATTTGATATAAAATCAGTTTTTCATATTAAATTATAAAACTTAAAAAATCAGTTTTTTGCATTAATTTAGAAAAATAAAGTTTATTACACCTTGTATTTTGTATTAATTTATAAAAAACAGTTTTCTGATTTTGTAAAAGCTTAGTTTTTGCATTAAAAATCAGTTTTTGTTTATATAATACAAAAATGATTTCATATGCTTCATGAAAAAATTGATTTAATACTAAAATTTGTGCACCAAACGCACTAAATTATTACGTTACTGGCATTTATTCACAATGCTAAAATTATGAAAATCTAATAGTACACATTAAATAATTAACTAACGTATAATACTAATTAAAGTTATTACGTTAATGACATTTATTCACAATACTAAAGTTAACTAATTTAACTTATTAATTAGTTAATTTCCATTTAACTAATATTGTTAAATATCATTAATTCACAATAATATATAATTCACACTTAACTAATAAAATTTGAATCCTAACTTAAATCACTACAAATCC